TTCCTTTTTGCTGACACCTTTCCATGTTGTCACCTTTCCATGGTGTCACTGGAACAGAAAGTGAGGGGACATCTCCGCAGTGCTGACGTATATTCTAACCTTTTCACACAATCTTGACAAGATGCTTTAGGCCTTGTTCACACCAAGCGCGTTCCAGGAGCAGAGCAGTTACAGACCGGATCAAAACTGCGTCCAATGTATTCCAATGGTATTTTGGGGTCTAGTTCACACCGCAGCGTTCAGTTCCAGAGCATGTAAAAAAACTGCAGCAAGCCCTATTTTACCTGCTCGGGAACGCTCTGCAAATGCATCCAAAACGCATCCAAACCGCTTGCAAACGCCCTGGAACGCACTGAAAGCCCATTCTACACTAAAAACGCCCCGAAACGCACCAAAAACGCGGCAAAAACGCGGCACAACCCACTGCACTGCGTGTGCAGAACCTCATGTAGATCTGGTCTGCATTTGGTGTGAACAAGACCTTAGGGCTCTTTGTGTTCTTCTCAGTGAAAGAAGGACAAAAACTGAGGGAAAATCTCATCAAACATCAAAAAACACCTGGCACAGATTCTAACCCTATACTAAAAATAAAAAACATTAAACAATTGCTGGAGTTAGGCTCTAAAGCTAACCTCCGGGAACAAACAACTTTCATTTATATATGACTCAATAGCCACACAGGATATGCTGTAAATCCCCTTTTGTGAACCAAATACCTATGCAAACCGAGATATATTTGTGAAAAGCAGTAACATCGTCACTGTACATAGCCTGTGCAGAGAGCAGAGCTGTGGGAGGGACCTAACAGGCTCCACCCATTACAGGCTGCCTACAGCAAACTAACAGGAGGGGGCGGAGACAAGACCAGTCACCCTGCACAAGGAAGAGAGCAACCATGACCTGTCTTTATTACAGAAAGCTCCTGCAGAGACAACATTTCACACTGTATTACTACACAAATCTGGAAGAAATACACAAAGCTCACCATGATTCAACTAGCAATACACATGACTCTTGTATTTAGACAATGTTTGCTTAACCTGGAGTTCAGCTTTAAGCTTTTGAATACACAAATGTGATTTGAAGCCTGGACATATTTTCCATTGATCTGGTGTACTTTTCCACAGTTGACATCTAGGTGTGTTGGAGAAGAATGTTTGGGGTTCGAAGTAAGTTCACTAAGTGCAAACAAATGACATCACAACTCAAACAGGTGTTACCTACCTGCAGCTCTTGTGTCAAGCAGTGGCTCATCAGGTGTGTGGAGGTGAGGCGTAGGCCAGAAAGCCTGAACTTGAACTATTATTTCAAAAGTCGAGAAATCAATATTAACTTTACGAGAGGAAAACATGTTGTTTCGTCTTATCTATTCTCTGTAGAACATGTGGACTAAAGAAAGATTTATTGAGGCGACTCCATCATTTGTATTCAGTAAGCCAATGCCAAGAGCTGTGCAAAGTGTAGTAACCTAGAACAGTCTTTCTCAACCAGGGTGCCGTGGCCCCCTGGGGTGCCTTCTGGCTCTCTTAGGGGGTGCCTTCTGGCTCTCTTAGGGGGTGCCTTCTGGCTCTCTTAGGGGGTGCCTTGAAATTTTTGCACAGTATCTTGCCTTTCTATGGTGCAGGCAGACTTCTGGTATGAATGGAGTTCCTAATGTAAATGGGGGCTCTGATGTGAAAGGGGGATGTTGATGTGAAAGGGGGGCTCCTGATGTAAAGGGGGACTCTGATGTGAAGGGGGCTTCCAATGTTAAGTGGAGCTTGTATGTGAAGGAGGGACTCTGATGTGGAAGGAGAGGGCTCCTGATGTGAAGGAAGCTCTTAATATAAAGGGGGACTCTGATGTGAAGGGGTCTACCGATGTAAATGGAGGCTTCCGATGTTAAATGGTGCTTGTATGTGAAGGAGGGGGGGACTGGGCCGGGGGGCAGGGTGGCAATTGCCCACCCCCTGGGCTAAAAGTTGCCAGTCAGCCCCTGATGTGAAGGATGGATTCTGACGTGAAAGAAGAGGGCTGATGATGTTAATGGAACTTCTAAAGTAAATGGGGACACCTGAAATAAAGGGAGACTCTTATGCGAAGGGGCTCCCGATGTTAAGTGGTGCTTGTATGTGAAGGAGGAGGGACTCTGATGTGGAAGGAGAGGGCTCTTGATGTGAAGGAAGCTCCTAAAGTAAATGGGGAGTCCTGATGTAAAAGTAGTGGGCTTCTGATTTGAAGGGGGACTCTGATGTGGAAGGAACCCTATTATGTTGTGTTTTTGCATGGGGTCTCCCTTTAAATCCATACCAGACCCCTATCTGGGATAAAGGTCTAGTATGTATTTTGGAGGGCTGCACACCATTTTTTTTTAACCTTTTTACACTTACAGTTTTTATATTTTAGACTGGGGTGTCTGGAGATTTTGCATATTGTTAAAGGGTGCAGTGAATGAAAAAACGCTGGGAAATGCTGACCTTGAGTGACTAATCAGATTTGACTTCATTCTAGTCACAGATTAATTGTTGATTGGTTGCTCTTTAGAGGATAAAGCTGACCACACATTGCTTGAAGCTCAGCAAAGTCCTGCTAACCCGACCAAAATTCGAGCAGCATGTGACCCCCTTAGGACCCCTCCATTTGACAAATGTTGATTATTCGGCTTTTGTTGATGAAGGAATCTTCCGCTGGGCCAAGCTTCAGTATCTTGCTCGTTGGCTCCGCTGGCTGTCCAAACACCTGAACAATCTGATTGGATGCAGACACTGTTCAGGTATTTTCTATGGTCAGATGGAAAAAGTGCAACAGATTCCTCCATCTACACTAAACTGTGCTGATAAGGGAATCTCCCACTTAGCCAAGCTTCAGTATCTTGTTAGTCGGCCACACTGGCTCTCAAAATACCTGAACAATGCCTGCATCCAATCAGATTGTTAAGGTATTTTGACAGCCAGCGGGGCCGACTAGCAAGATACTGAAGCTTGGCCCAGCGGGAGATTCCTTTATACACACAGTTCAGCGTAGATGGAGGAATCTGTTGCACTTTTTCCATCTGACTATAGAAAATCTGCAGATAATCTATAGGTGTATGGCCAGCTTTCCGATGGAGGAATCCCCCACTGTTTTGCATTGTATTCTGACAGCGGCCACTTGCTACTATCAGAATGCCCAAACGGAGTTGCAGCTACATCCATGCCAATGAGGACAAGGGCCTCTTCCCAACAACCCTGGCACAGTGGTTGTGGGGGTCTGCGGGCAGGAGGGCTCATCTGCATCTGGGTACCCCTTTTCATAAAGAGCCATTTAGATGCCGCCGCCCTGTGAATGAGTAAGGGGTAGTTGCTACCCCTACTCATTCACCCAAAAATACTGAGAAAAGGTAAATAAACATGCCACACATTGAAAACATCCTTTATTTGAACAAAAAACAAAAGTCATTTATTTAAAAAAAGGCTCCAATGATGCAACAGATTGTCAATCATGTCGTCCAGCGATGTAATCCAAGTCAATCACGATGAACGACGCCCGCTGACTCGCCGAAAACAAAAAAGTCTCGCCGCTCGAGCAAAACTCCTGCCGCAAATGACAGTGCCGGCCCGATTGTAAACAAATGGGCGAATCGAGTTGTGACTTCACGTCTCCCTCAGCCTATTTGTTGTCATGCCATGACAGCTTACTATCCTCAAATGGCATAAAAACAAATGGGCGGTGCAAGTCCTGTGACCTCAAACACAATGGGGGGGATTAATTAACACTGGAGCAGACAAAACCTGGAGCAGCTGTGCATGTCATCCAATCAGCTTCTCTCTTCAGTTTGTTCAGTTACGATTTCAAAATGAAGGAGAGAGGCTGATTGGTTGCCGTGCATAGCTGCACCAGGTTTTGTCTGCTCCAGTTTTGTTCAATTCCCTTCTATAAGTATAACTGCAGAAAATGTCTTCTTTTTTGCTGTAAAACACTGCAAGCTATGGCTGTAATATTAACTCTATCAAGGTATCCCCCCCTAGTCGCTCTCTATCCCTTATGTATAAAATGTTATTGAAAATAAGCTCAAGAGGCTCTTTGTACTTTATGAGAGAATGGGAGAGGGACATGGGTGTGACTTTTTCGGATGCACAGAAGGACCAAATACTAGCGCGGGCCCATAACTCATCTATAGATTCCAGAGTTCAAGAAACTAATTATAAGGTGCTTACCCGGTGGTATCGGGTTCCATATTCTTTGGGGAAAATTTATCAAAATGTCTCTCCTCTATGTTGGAGGAACTGTGGGTTACAGGGGACATATTTGCATGTGTGGTGGGAATGTCCTAAGCTTAAACCTTTTTGGCAGGATGTTAGAGCACAAATACAGACCACTCTGGGTGAGACTCTACCGTTTTCTCCAGAGGTCTTTTTGCTGCATTTGATGCCGGTGTCAAAGGCTAAATACAAAGCTACAGTTTTGCCCCATCTCCTAAATGCAGCAAAGAGGCTAATACCGAGATATTGGAAGAGCCAAAAGGTACCCACAAGAGCAGATTGGGCAAGGCAGGTAAATTGTATTATGGAATCTGAAAAGTGGATAGCAATGGGTAGAGAGAACCATGATGCGTTCCTCAGTAAATGGGATATTTGGATGGATTATAGCTTGATGAACCTTTAGAGTGGGAACTTTGGGGGAGGGTTTTGGAATATGGAAATATGTATTTTTTTTTTTTTATTAAGAGGGTATGCAATGTATCTTTTTATTTGTTATTTATTATTATTTTGTTTTTGGTTGAGGCTTTTTTTGCTAGATTCATGACCTATGGAGTTAGTCTTGAATATATATTTGCTATGGGATATTGGTAACTCAGGAAATTTTCTTATTTTTCTTATGTTCTGTTTGTATGGAAATGTAAATGTTTTTGAATTGGTAGAGATAAAATTATAAATAAAGATTTAATTAAACTCTATCAAGGTAACCCTAGCAAGGCCATTTAAGACTCATGGTTTTTTTTTTGAGTATATGTGTAGTTATGTGCTTGTTTTTCTTTACAGGGACAGTTCTGTGATGTCTGTGACATATCAGATCCTAACAAAGCATACCCTGTGTCCAATGCCATAGATGGAACAGAGCGATGGTGGCAAAGCCCCCCATTGTCATTGGGGTTGCAATACAATGAGGTCAATGTCACTATAGATCTTGGTCAGGTAAGAAAAATGTATGTTTTATTTTATTTATGATTGTTTTATGCTGAATGTGTAGGAATTACAATATTTGACAGCTGTCACCAGAACAGGTACTCCCTTCAGGAACTTTCCCCTGTAGTGGTGTTCCAGTGCCAATTTTTTTTATTTTCCGGCATTTTCTGTCCAGGTGACAACAGGAACCAGGACAAAAATGTAGAGTGCACCTCTTCAATGGGTTACATATAGCAATAAAGCCTGATGCCCTAGGAGACTAGGGATTAGAAAACCGGACAAAGTTTGGTTCACCAGATCTACATTGCTAGATGACCCGATTGATGATGGATTTACTTTTTTTTTCTAACTTAAAAAAGGACTTTTTTGGTGATGCAACTTTACACATGGAATAAAAAGAACTTTGCCTGGAGAACCTTTGGAGTGCTGGTGACTTACTGTTTTGTCCATCTGATCCAGTGGCGCCATCCACTGTCATTTCAGCACCCCCCCCCCCCCCCACACTTTTGCCTTTGTGGGTGATCAAACATACAAACAAACGTCTAAACATACAAACAGAGGCTGTTTGTATGTTTAGACCTTTGATAATAAAAGGTGTCATCCCCTTACATTGATAATTGGATTTCCCCTCATTATTTATAAACAGTTTTATTTATGGTGACATACATTATGTACAGTAATATTAAGTATAAAATTGGATGAAAGTGAGAAATATTACATCCAGATATATACTGACAAAGCATATACTGTATATTACCAGCTTATTACAATGGTATCATATAAGGTTGTTGTAAAGTGCAACAAAAGGGTATGTGGAGGACTTGTTAGTGAGATGGTCCACACTGAGTGCAAGAGTATCTCCTCCCAGACTGAGTTGAGAGATTAGTGTGGATTAAAAATGTTCCTGCTCAGGAAGGGTGTGTATAGGGCAAGGGTCAGTATGTAAAGAGAGGGGAGGATGGGCGACTGAGCAGAGGGAGGATGACTAACATGGATAGTGGAGGTAGAGGGGGCAATATATAAGGACAGGAGAAAAAGAGGGGTACGAGGTAAAAAGGGGAGAGAGTCTGCTCTCTGCAGGGTTCCAGGGTAATATGGCGCCCTGGGGGTCAAGTATCTCTGTTGGTGGTGTCAGGAAAGCTCAATGAAGTGTAGAAACTTGATGTGGTGTGTACTGTGTCCCAAAGGGTTGTAGCTTGGAGCAGGGACAGAAAATGTGGGTACCCATACTCGTATTTAACTTGTTTAATACGTAAGAGACCTTGTACCATCTAGAAAGCATTATATATCCCACTTCTTGAAATTTGTTTGCGATGGAGAATTTGTGGGTAAAATATAATATGCTCTCACATTGTTGCTCGGTAAAGTTCACGCCCAGTTTGTTTTTCCATTTCTTTTAAAAAGGGGGGAACTAAACTGTTGGGGGGTGGACACAAATGTATATATTGTAGAAAGAGCATGTTGTTTGGGTGTCTTTCCCTTGCACATTCCTTCATTCATGAGGAGGGGCCTATCGAGGTCCCGAAGTCTAGTGATAGAGAATATATGGGATAGAGTTAATGACTAAGCTGTTACGAACTCCACATATCTAGCTGTGGGTCTACCAGGGTCCTGATTTCAGTGTATGAAAGCTACTTCTTATTTGATATAAAATCTAAGAATCATAATTTACATAAAGCAGATGGTGAAGGTTCTTATTTTCCAGGCCCGGTAGGAAAGCTGGATCCTAACATTAGGGGCTAGTGTAGACAGGAATGGAGAGAGGCAAGCAGTTTCCTGGCTGCCCGAATTGTTATTCCAATAGTTGGGTCCGCAAGAATCTCAGGAGACAGAGGTGAAGAGGGCTATATGAGTCCTGCTACAGGGCGAGAGGATTCCTTCTGCTCCATGGTGACTCATTGTTTATGGAGGTGGTTGCTGCACCAGTCTACCAGTTGAGTGAGCTGAGCAGCTTTGTAATAGAGGGTAACTGACTCCCCACTGTGATTAAGGAGGGACAATACTTGTTTGTGGATCCTCTGGGAATTGTAGACCCAGATAAACAAACTGAATATGCAGTGAAGATGACTAGAAAAAGTGTTGTGGCAATTTAATTCGTAGCCTTGTAGAAGATAAAGTATCCTAGGTAGGACCATCATTTTGAACTGCACTAGCCAAACCAATTGACAATTGGTGCCATGCTTAGTTTTCATTGTGTTTAGCAGGGAGGTTAATTGGCTTTTAACAGTTTACTGAGATCAGCTGTGATATTAGTTCGTAAGTATTTTACCTGGTGTGCCGCCCATTAAAATGGGAAGTGTGTTTTATTGTGTGGGAGCCGGAGTTAGGCATTAAGATATTCAGAGCCACCGTGGAGTTTGTTTAAACTAGTTGGGATCTTAGTGTGCCATATAGTTCTGTCTATCAGCAAACTTGTTCAGAAAGTTTGGTAAGTATAGTCATTCTGTCTATCCTAAATTGTTGTAATAATATCAAAACTATATTTCACTGAACTGTCTTTCAGAGGGCTTCAGAAAATATCCTCTGTCATTGTATATTTCTGTGTTCTGGTTGCTATGGTTGCTATGATCTGTGGATCATGCAGGAACAGAGCAATCTGAAGTCTAACTGACCTTAGACCTTTATCCTAGATAAGTTTTATGACTGCAAGTGAAGGGAATCATTAGTTTAGTATGAACTATGACAAGGAGAGGCTTTTATCACATAACATATGGGAAGGTCAGATGGAAAGGTATGCAGAAAACTCAGAAAATGCCAAGAAAATAGCAAGTATAAAACACACATACAAAGACATCCTCTATGTAATTGTCAGGGAGTAAATGCTCCATAGACCAGAAAACCTGCAGAGGTTCAAACTCCTCTCTGCTCTATCCAAAACTAGCTGGAGTCCCACTTTAAATCCATTTATTCTTCTAGAAATACTTGATACATTGTAACAAACTTTAGCTAAGATATAATTTAAGAATACTCATAATTCGATTTTTCTTTCATCATACTATATGATGAAAGCATTCCCTTATTTTAATGTAGATGCAGCTTGACATTTTCCTGACAGTTTCTGCCTAACTACACAAAATTCCACACATCTGTTATGTGTACTGGCTACCATTAAATGCAACTGCTTACATTGCTTACAGATTTGCCGTAATACCCATACCGACTTATAAAGCCTACATATAAATATTTTAAAATGAGTTCTTTATAAAAGCTTAATTTCAGTTTTTGTAATTGCCAATTTTGAATTGCAGTTCCTGTGCTTCAGATGTTCTGCCTTTATACTACAATAATAATTTGTGATTTTTTTTTCTTATATGGAATTGGTTGTGTGGCAGGTTTGTGTTTCTGTACTGATTTTTTCTAATTTTATGATAAAAATGTAATATATTGCATCTTATCAGTCATTAGATGTGGTGGCTGCATTCGTTTTCTTTTTCCAGCTTTTATTTCCATTATTTTTACCTGGTGATTCTGCTAGTAACACACTTCCCTCCTAGGGTGACAACACACACTCACTGTACTGTATTTAGATAGTAGCAGGTTGTTCTCTAGGATAAGTCTACAGAAGCCTCACCCTCTCTTCTCCTCCATAACATAGAGCTATCTCCCAGGTATCTCTGAAGACTGTCACATCTGTAGTCCACAGAGATAGCTAGGAGCAATGGAACTTATAATAGCACGGCAGAGGAAGTTATCAGCTGACAAGCCTTCTGGCAGGATCAACAGGTATTTTTTTTATTTCTGCGCTTATGGAACTGATATAACAAAATTATTTCAGTGGTATATTTTAACAAACTGAACAGGACTAAATCAATTAATATCATTATTAAGGTTTACATACACTTTAAAGAAAGCTGTGTGTTGCCGATGGAAGGCAAAACAAGTTTGCTTTAACCCCCTCCATCACCAGTGACTTTTTTGACATAACTTTCCTTTGCTCTCCCACTGCTTTGCTCAGTGCTTCTGAAGGAAATAACTGTGACCTCTAGGTATGGACGATCATATGACAAATCAGTGTTGTCACATGGGCAGTCCATAGCCCTATTTAAGTTACGCTTCCAGAGGCTGAAAGGAGTGGCAAAGGAGTAAAGGAAAGGTAAGTACTACTGGGAAGGTCTGCATTAAATTGAACCTATTGCTACTGATTGTGACCTCCCATTCACAATCAGCAGTTTTTTTATATCGAAATGTAAACTATAAGAGGTCCCAACAACAAAAAGAATCAGAGAAAGATGATAAATGTCCATTAAAGATGGTTCAATAAAAGCAGCAAATATAGCAACTGTAGACTGAAGCTGCATATGGAGTCTGCATATGGCTGCAGGGCCAAGGTTGTCTTGGGGCAGAGTGACCCATAAGATTTAGACTTGCTTAGTAAAGGTCAGCCATAGGACTAAAGGGAGGGTAAGGAAGAGATCCAATACAATCGGGCATTAAGGACAACTTGTGGGATCCTGTTGTATTTCAAAACCCAGTTCCAGAAGATGTAGAAGAACATGCTTACAAGAAAAGATGAAGGCATGGGCCCATACTTTACCTCTCAGTTGTGCCACTAGGCTGTTAATTTTGTACACAAATTGGAACACTTGATTTTTATTATGAGTTCAAATTCTTTAATCAAAATGAACTAGAAAATAAAAGACATGGTTTAGACAATAACTAAGTAAAAAATCATTATGCACAGTAAAGACACTGCATGTATAAAAATAAGTAACAAAGCTGTCACGTTCATATTATATACTTGCTATATTAGTGCTTGCTCAGGTGTAGTCAGTAGTTACAAGCAGGGCAAAAAATAGAAATCATGGGGCCCCATTAGGGTTGCCACCTTTTATTCCATTAAAACCCGAACACTCTAGAGACGCACAGAAATGTTTTGGGGAGAATGAGTCGTGGCTTATTCATATGTAAATTGCGCCGCCCATACATATGTAAATATCACAGTCGAAACTATTTTCAGTGGTTGCCCCTGTCTGCCTGACATCTTGTGTCCGGGTTTCAGCTGCCATGAA